CCATAATATCATCAGGTATAGTAACTTGGCAGTGCGACTGTTACGGTCAGCGACCCAGAGGCCGGCACTAAGGCGGTCGGGGTTGGGCACTTCTTCACCGGTATCATGCTTTACGTAAATATCAGGAGTAAGGCAAGTAAGGAAGCCAGAATCGTTGTGCCAGCCGATCCATGCATCTCCGCTTGAGACTCCGTGGGGAAGTAATAGAGTAATCTCCCCTTAGCCTTCTGTGTTTTAGACATCTCCTTATAGAGAGTGTTAGGAGCATAACCATTGACTCGAGAGGTGGCCAACAGATCGACGTGCCTCGACAGGGCCTTAGCCATATCGTACATAGTACAACCCAATGCTCTACACCTTCCTCGCATATCAGGAATATCTGTTTCGGCCGGCCATAGGTTCTTGGGGACAGCCCATGGAAAGGCCTCCCGCAGCTCTGGCAGAGGATCGTCGGTGAGGGGGTTGAAGTAGAAGCTGCCCTTAGCGAGATCAGGCTTATCACCGAGTTTCTCCTTACCGTGGGACCATCCCACATTGTACATACTAGGTTCATGTTCTAAGGCTTGGAGCTTCGACGGAGGTAGAGTCGCCAACTTGTGAGATAGGGGTAAGACGGAGCGCCAAAGCTCCTCCCAGTGGGGAACTCCCCTAATGCCAATCGCACCAATACCGTCCGGTCCGAAGGCCTTGTAGACAGCCTCGCTTAGGTCGGCTTCGGGACAGGTGACATCTTCATATTCAACAATAACGAGATCTGCTGACATTGGAGGAAAAATAGGAAACTTATGAAAATTGGTTACAAAAATGATGGTGAGTCAACCACTAAAGCCTGTTGAGGCTGCCTATGAGGTTGTTCAATGTCTCTGTGTATGCTGTGATCACTTCTGAGTGAACGAAAAAAGCTTGAGGTTGAATTCGAGAAGGCCAGGGTAGTATGCGAACAACAGAGCATAAAACTGAGGAGACGTTGTAGTGGTCCTAATATTGGGAGAATTCACAGTGGGGATTTGATCACTGTGAACGGTCCTTGCGTGGTAAATTTGCTTGTGGGCGAGCGCTAATCTTACGATTTACGCCGACATTTGAAAAATTGCGGTACTACTCGCACATCACCATAACATACCATGTTA